AGCTTGAAATATCTAAGAAGATCTCAAAGAATTGAAGAGTGACCTCATATATACGCATTGGGCATCCATAATGCCTTTTAGAAGGGTAGTTTTGCATGTTGTTATATGGATCACTATATTAAGCATGTCGTTTGAAATAACTGGAGCAAAATAGAAAATAATAGAATTACTTGCTTTTACGAGTACCGATAGGTTCTGAAAATAATATTCAGTGAAAATCTTACAAATGTTTAATGAGAAATAAAATGTCTTTCTAATTTTTATGTGACTGATTTTAATATGAATTATAGTTATGGCACCCTATTCCTTTAAAGATCATGCATGAGGAAGTTCGATTGTTATTTCTTGATTGCAAGAAAAAAAAAGTACACAATAACACTTGGATGATCTCAACTAGCTTAATGTAGTTTGATAATTGATGTTTATGTGGTTAGCTTGGAATAACGATCATAGTTAAGATTTTAGCAACTAAAAAAAAATCAATTTTGAGATTATCGCCATATTTGTACACTGCATTCAAATTTTATCATGGTCTTTATATATTTTCAAAAAATAATTGAAAAAAACAGATAATATAATACAAATAAGCGGGAAAGAAGTGAATATTTTCAAATACATTATTGTGTGATCTTATAAAAGACATATTCATATACATATATTAGTTAAATTGAATGCAAGAAACTTGTGAAAGTCAACTTTTATTTTTTATAGGATAGAGCCCAAGAATTGTTGGACCAACACTAGGATAAAATGAATAGATCTATTACGAGACTATAAAAGAAGAGATGAATATAAGATTTTATGGCCTTGCACCTCAAAGAAAGCATGATTATGACATTGGGTCCTACTTCTAATCTTTATGAACATCACTCTCAAACACTATATTAGTTAGGTTTCTTTAAGTTGAAGAATAAATTGTGAGTTTTGTTGATATTTTAGTACTAATGTATATTTGAATCTATTTGTTAATATTTAGATTATTATTGTCACGATTCAATTCTTCGTGAGAGACACTCGCACTAAATCTCCGGTGAAAGAACCAATAATATACTAATACGCAAGCAACTAAGCATCAAAAAGGAATAGTTCTTATTAATTAAAGGAAACAATCTTTAATATGAACAAAAAATATTCCTTTTAAAATCTAAAAATCGTGTATCAAAACATCTACGTGGTCTAATATGAGATGCAACCTCAAAACAAAAAGTGTCTAACTCCTAAAAATAGATTAGAGAGAAAAGATGAACACATAGTATCTCAGAGGAAACAACTCATTCTTGGATTTAGAAAGTGTTGGACTCACAACTAAGTTCACAAAGCAACCGCTGAAATATGCCTTGTACTCAATAAAAAAAGAGCAAGTGCAGTATCAGTACACAAATTTACAACGGGATCTTATCACTTTATAAAGTCTTGTACTTGGTTCATAATGTGATTTAACTTATTGAGATCTTATCACTTTATTATTTCAGGTACTTGAACCTCTCCATAAGATTTCAAGAAGCGTTGTGTCGTAGGCTCTGCAAAAGCACATGTATGCTATAGGAATCTTATAGACCATTTGGTAGAGTGTAGTAGAAAAAATAATGCATTAGTTTTGTGTATTAGTGGTACCTTGTTTGATATATTTTTTTAGCCTATGTTTTCATTAGTTATACACTCTATTGTGTATTGAGGTATATGTATTACTAATACCATGGATTTTCATGTATTAATATATAATGCAAGGCTTTTAGCATGGATTTTTTTTTATGTATTAATGCATACATTAGCATGATTAAAGACTCAATTGCCCCTCAACTTTTTTTACATCCTTTCCATCATATTTGTGGAGGGTATCTTTGTAAATATATATTTTTTTTAAAAAAATTATGCAATGCATGTTATTTTTAATATATCAAACCAAACAATTCATAAAATGTAATGCAAGCATAACTAATACAATCGTTATTAATACACTATATTTAATATTATTTCTATACATTCTACCAAATGACACCTTAGTTGCTTATATCTCCCCCTCATGTTAGACAAACTAACATATATTTCAATCGATTTTGGAGAAGTACTCATCTTTGTGCATCATGGCATGTTTATTAGTGATATACCGCACATAAAAGTTATTAGGTGAAAGATATTTAATTTCTAACACTAAATCAATTCAAAGAAAAAAATTAATCATGATTTATTAGTTTGATGCATACAAATATCGTTGTATGCAATATATCATAATTCAAATCATTACATCAAGTTTTGTTATCATGAGCAATAATTTAGTTATTTATCTGAGGTAATGTAAAATTTTCTTAGATATTAATTATAACATAATCAAGATGAATTATTTTGTTTACACAATCTGAAAGTTGTTCTCTTAACTCAATTATTTTGCATAGTTAATTTTGTGAATGTCAACATGTAGGGTGGGAATAAACACACATATACTCATCTTATAGATGCATCTATTTAACATATCACATGACAGGTGAACGATTCGTATTCACTTTTTTATACTTTTCAGATTCTACGGAATTCAGTACCAATATTAGTTGATCTACTCAACTTCTCATGAAAATAAACAACATAAAGAATTTTTGAAAAATTCTAGTTCTTCAATGTATGTTTGAATATTTAATAGGTACATCTTTTAGATGACTAAATTATTCGTGCCAGCTGATAAAGTTATTTGTACTAGTAAACTCCAAATTTATCATGACATGTGTCTTTTATTTTAGTGAATTTTGATTTATTAATTATTATTACATGAATAAATTTCAAATTTATTTCCTTTCAATTACTTTACCTCTCCTAGAGGTGTTGTGATATCATCACAATAAAGTGCACATCCGTATTGATAAAGTTTATTAAATGATAGAGAAAATACATAAAAATTTCTATGAACTTCGCAGCAAAACTTACTTTAGTACTTTAGCTTTATGGGTAATTATTTATCCGCTAATCTCTTTTCAAGTGAATTTAAATACACCCAAACAACTGATATGGCAAGACAAAAAATTAATTGTGCGTAAATACCAAAAATTAAAGAGAAAAAGAATAAGTGAGCCCCAATTTTTTTATTTTTAGCCAATAATCTTTCTTTCCTTCATCTTCCTCATACCCTACCACCCTCCCGCCCTTAGTACAACCAGCCCCTTCATCTTCCTCATACCCCACCACCCTCCTCTGGCCCTCAACCACCATTTGCACCACCTCTTTCTTCTTCGTCACTCCCAACCTTTTTGTATTTCTTCAAAACTCCCATCCCGGCCTTATTTCTCCTCTTCAAACCCTCATCTTCTTTCTTTACCTCACCTCCTCAACCATCACTTGCCTCGCTCTCTTCCTCTTCCTCTTCTTCTTCCTCTTCCTCTTCCTCCTCCTCCTCCTCCTCCTTCTTCTTCGTTGAATATTCCATCTTCTTTCTCTTTCTTCGCAACCCCCCCCCCCCTTCCCATTTCTTTTCATTCCGTAAAAGAGTGTGATTAACGGGGGGGAAATAGAAAAATCAACAATTTGTTCTTGCTTCAAAATTATTAATTATGACAATGTTTGAATGTAACGAAACTTGAAGCTCTTTTTAATGAAAAATCTGCAATTCTTTCGTCTCAAATTAAATTTTCAATCATTATTTTGATAATGTGTTTTAAAAATTAAATGTGTTTTTGTGACAATGATTTTGAGATTTTTGATCAATCTTTCAATCGTGACTAAGTTTGTTCAATTGCAATCGTGACCGAGTTGAGGAACATGCACTCTCATTTTTTTGAATTTTTTTTTGCTTTGTTCATGGGGGATTTTATGTATTTTCTGTAAATGCTATCATATTCACTTCAGGAAATGATTTCGTATTTTTAGCATTTATCAAAAGTTCTCATTCTTCTTGAATGAAACATAATCATCTGAGCATATAAAATTATGATAGATTTGTACCCCATTCCATGTTCATATGCATTAATCAATCACTTGTCTTCTTTCAAATATATTATGCACTATTACCACATTTACTTCGTGAGCATATCAAGTGAAACAAGTTTCATGATTTTTCATAAAAACACATTATTTTACTTTAAATATCATTATAATGCATTGAGGCTTAAATTTATCGTTTTACCCATAAAAAACATTTTAAGGCCCTAATAGATGAGACTTAAACCCAATATCTTATCATGATAATACATAGGGACTTTAATCCAATATATTATCCTTTAAATGCAATGATACTTGAATCTATCGTCTTATCCATAATGAAATTTAAAAAATACTATCGATTCCGATAATAATATATTTCTTGCAACTCCAATCAAAATTTAAGTGGAGTTATTATTATTATTATTCACTTTCTTGAGACATATCCAAAGAAAGTAGTAGCTGCATCACTATTTTACTAGAGCACACAAGATGAGCACACATATAATCAACGAACTTCTATTAGATATAATATATAGTAATAATAATTCTCATCTTATGAAAAGGATATCATCCTTGGCCCATAGAATAATAATGAGGGTTGGAGTTTCATAAAATCAATCAATTATTCCTAAAAAAGAATTACATCAATTGAGAATCTAGTTCGTCCATTGAGTTAATGATGTTGTTCCCAATAATTTTAACTAACTTAAAAGAAACGCTAAGTAATGTCAAACAATACTTGCAAGAAAAATATATAATTAAAGTTCATATATAGCTAATTCATGTACATCAATATTAATAGGTCAAGAACCATATCTTAAAATTATAAAGCTATAAAATCGATATTAATTTAATTACGTTTGGTATAACGTAAACTATTATTCATGAATTTACAATGCATATTCATGTTTTAATAAGAAAAAAATGACTTGATCCCAATCCGACCCTCACTAGAATTTCTAATTTTTCTATATAACACAATAAATATATATTTATTTTATAACAATAATTATTTATATTATACTTTATACTTACTATAATAAAGGGCTAGAAGTTCAGCAGGCTTATTTGGTACTTCAGAGCGCAGCGTTCAATAATACGGTGCATTACATCGCCTTCATCAGATTTGTTTGGTTCGTCTCTTTTTATCTCTTCTCAGGTACGTGTGTATCTCCTTCTCTGTGCTCTGCTTTTGGGTTGATCTCGAGCTGTGTTTTTTTCGTTTAATTTCTCCTTTTGGGCCAATTTATCTCTTTTCTGTGCGATTTGGCGTCTTTGGATGTGTATGTGTGTTTGTTTGAACTAAATTTGGGGCTTTTTGGTTCTTTCGGCGATTTGTAATTTTGAGGCCCTTGAAGCACTGCTTTGGTGGCTCTAGGGTTGAGCCTCCTTGTTGATAAAAGTACTTTGTCAATTCAATGTCAATGTTTCCGTTAATGATGAAGTTTTGTGGGGATTCTACATCCTATAAGGCCAGTTACTGAATTCAATTTCTAATTTTTAACCATCTTAATTCGAGCACCGGAACATCAATTTTTTTAAAAAATAAATGTAAAAGAAAAAACTTTAACTTATTGGTGACTTGGGTGTAGTAGAGAAGATAAGTGTTACTTGTAACTTGGAAGCATACTTAAATTTTCAACTCTTTTTATAAGTTTAAGATGGATTGAAGGTATTATATGTGGACTTTACTTTGTGAGTTGTGAAGATTTTCAGGTTTGAGTCCTTTTAAAGTTTATTTTAGTTAACTCTGTATACTTGCATTAATGATGCAGGAAATTGCTGTGATAAAGGAAATTGAGAACATGACTGACGATAGAAGAGTTCACCCAGATTGTCGGAATGCTTCGAACCCTTATCATGAATGCAGCGAATATTGCTTCAAAATAATAGCGGAAGTAAAGAAGCAAATGAGCAAAGCTGAAGCAGGTAAAAACTGAATTTTAAGTTGCAACCCTGGAGTACTTTGACATTTTTTGGCACTAGCAATTCAATTCATATCACAAAAGTTGAACCATTTGACTCTAGTTGTTTGCACTAACCCAAAGATCAAAAAACAAAGCAAACAACAACAATTAACAATACAAAAAAATTAAATAGAAAATGTTGTCTTCTTTTTTGTTTATGTCTTTTTTTGCTGCGTAGTCAAGCTTATTTAACCTTTGGTTGAAGATACTGATGGGTATTGTTTCACTTGCCATTCTAGGGGTCCTTGGTATTACTAGGTTTTTTCCCTTGCAGACAACTGTAGTATAATGATTTGACATCCAAGTGTATATTCAGACTGTTGCAGCTTTAAAGGAGTTGTAGTAGAGCAATCAAAGAAAACGTTATACCGGAGAGAGTGACCAAGCAATCTTTGCTAGTTATAGATGGAAAAGTGAGAGCACAAGGTGTTAGCTGATTGAGAGACATATATAGTTGTGTTGTCTCCTGCATCACTGAGATCAAAATAGTTGGTAACTGGTAATTAAGTAAGTGAGGTGTTGGAAAATATGGCTGTCATGTCAATAGTACAATTATCAGTATGGAGTAGACATGGTGGTATAGTATGTATTGGAGCTGAAAACCACCTTCAGAAAACTTGAGATATATTCCTGCCGAACAGAGAAGTAAGAATTAAGAAAGGTAATTGGCGGTTTGTTGAAGAACTCTACCCGACTTGCCCCTAAAATATTCTATCCTTACACTATTCATGCCTATTACACAAGCCTATCTTTTTCTACTCATACTAGGGGCAACCTAATCTCGCAACCACTTTTCTTTCAATATATCCTCCCAATTTTTAGTAATAGGATTGGTGCAAATATTTGTTGGTAGAAAATAAGACCACTATCATATTACCAAGATTATAGTTAAGTTAGTATAAAATAAATGATGTATAGTTCAAGATTAAGGCAAGTTTTTTTAATAAAACCTTATGCTACCCGTATCTTTGTGGGTGTAAAATTTCATTTTCCCTATTTTCCTACCTATCAACTTTCTCTTCCCATGTGGGCAGGGTCAAATTTATGTATCTACAATTAACCATAGGGAAGGGCGAAGCTTGGTGTCCTGTTTTCCACACCTTGGAGCTTCATGAATTTGAGACTTGTGGATGCAAAATCCTTACATACTTCTAGTGCCTGAAATACAGATTTGCCTGTCAAACATGTCTGCAGTACAGGGGAGTGGGGAAAAGTAATTAATGGTGTCAATAGTAGTTCATGGGACGGGGAATAGTACATTTTTTGTGAATGTTGTATTGGGACATCATGTAAAGTGTGATCGGTTTTTTGTGTTAATGCCATTGACATTGAGTAGATAAATGAGGATCTATATATGCTGAAGTGGAACTTTATCATGTCAGCAAGAGACAAGATACTACACTACACTGGTTAAGCCACACACTTCAATTAGGTTGCACTTATATGTGGTCAATGCTTAGCTAACATATGAAATCTAATGATATGAGATTGTTAAGAACCTCCTGACTTAACTAATGCCAAAATTCCTTGGCTTTATTTTAGCTTTTATTGATTGGGCTTTGAGTTTTTGATTTTCAGAAAGCTAGCAAAGAGTTATGGAAGTAGTATCGTCATGCCCCAAATCTGGATGGGGCAAACAAGTACCATATGAACATATATGCTATGCAGATTATCTATGCCAGGTGTTATATCAAAGAACTATATATTGATGACTACTGATAAGGATTATACATGCCTATAACAAGGCATGACCAACTGATACAAAAGACAACACCATAGTGTCCATGTAGCCTCTAAAAGAGTAAGAAACTTGTTGATAAAAAAAGAAGAGTAAGAAACTTTGCAACTGTCTAGCAGTCGGGATAAGGCCCCACCATACCCATACTTAACAAATGTATACAACAAAATAGAATACTAATTTACTCCTTGTTCCCTTTCATTTAATATAGGCTACATTTAGAAGTAGCTCAATCAAGTAGGAAGTCGAAATAAATAACTTAACTAAGTAGATAGTCCAAACACTTAGGACGTTTACGGTAGTAGGTGAAGCACATAGCTCAAGCAAGCAAGTGACTTTATCCCATATTCATTTGTATTTGCAAGTCTCATTCCCTCAAACAATATTCTTCACTTTAGTATAGTTGAATAGTTAGACTTTGACTCGAATTTAGCCTCACTTTCACATATTTAAATAAATTTCTGACGTTAACTTAGTCGCACATATGTTGAAAGGTATAGGGTATTACAATAATTTGCTAGTATGATAAGCTCTTGCCTGTTAACCTCTCTTCTGCCCACGATGAGCCCAACAATGGTTCTTTCCATCACGTGGCTTGAACCCCCAATCTTATGGTAGGAGGTGAAAGGTCTTTACTACTATGCTGTACCGCTATTTCTTTTATAACCATGGTGTGCATGTCAACTTGTGCGCATTTCATATAATTCCACGAAGTACTTGCTACCTCCCACCAACACAAGTATCAGGTAACCTATATACCAAGACTTGGACAGATAAAAAGAAATTACCTAATGTTTTTGCCTCTATTGGAATTTGAACCTGAGACGTCATGATTTTCAACCATTTTATTGACCACTAGCCACACCCTTGGGATGCCTATACCTCTATTATCATCTTTTAAGCGTTACTTGCATTGGTTGCAGGAAGAAAACTATACTTAAATCAAAGATATAAGTATTTCAAGCATGATTTGTTGGAGATGCTAACATGTTAGGCTTAACTAGTAAAGCTCACATAAGTGTTTCCTCGAGCATTTCCGTTTGCTAGCACTTTTGTTTCTAAGGAGAGCTAATGCCTAATGTTTGCTCCCGTAGAATGGCAAATTTGTTGTTCTTTCCTAGCCTGACCTTCTTTATGCGGTATCAGGTGTATTGCAAGCTAATACTATTGATGTTCATCGCTCCTCGGTTGTGAGTTCCGATGGGGGTGAAGGTGCCCCTGATGAAAGGGATGTTGTTGAAAGTCACAGTGATGCAGATGATCAGGCTGATGGAGAGGATAATATGGGACAAGACTCCGCGAATCTCACAGGGAGGAAGAAGAAGTTATTTGAATTGAGGTTAAAAATGGTAATTGCAAATATGATTCTTTTCTGTTCATTTAGAAATCAATGCTATAATTCTGTTGACTTCTCTATTTATTACTCCATCCTTTTCAATTTGTTTGTCTTGCTTTCCTTTTTAAATCTGTTTAAAATGAATGCCACTTTCTATATTTAGCAACTCTTTACACTCAAATTTAAGCCATAAGATTCAAATGGCATTTTGGTACACTACATAAATATTTTGTTCAAGACCACAAGATTCAAAGCCTTCTTTATTTTCTTTAATTCCGTGCTGAATCAAATTAAGGCAAACACATTGATATGGAGGGAATATTTCGTTTTCTTCTTTTTCTCAAAAAAATATTTCATTTTCTTGTTTTCTTTTCTTCTTTATAGTATCTTCTATCAAATTATTTATATTCTAGCTTGTGGAATTTTATGCAGAATGAGGCAAGAAAAGCTAATCAATCTGCAATGGTAGCAGAGAAGAAAAAAACAGAAGCTCCACCAGAGTCTAGGGGAATGTCCAAGCAAAAATGGATCGAGGAGAGGAAGAAGAAAATTGGGAAGTTGTTGGATGCCAATGGGTTAGATATGAGCAAGGCATATATGCTAGATACACAAGAGTCTGCAGAGGTTAAGTACAAGAAGTGGGAGAAGGAGCCTGCTCCAGCTGGTTGGGATGGTATGACTGATTTTTCATCACTGTTCTATTTCCAGACCCCTACCCCCACCCCTCCACCAAAAAACAGAGAAAAGAAAAAACTTTACATGATTACTAAAGCTCTCAGATATAGCATGAAATGTGTCTCTTAGAAAAGCTCGCTTTGTTGCGTCCAAAAGAATCATTGTCTCCTTAGCTAATAATAAGTTTTAAAGGGTTCAATACTCTAGCCTTAGCTGCTCAGTGAGATTTATGTGTGATTCTCCGCTTCTTTTAAAATGGTCAATGAGGAAGTAAATTCTTGACCATCATGATTCGTTGGTATCAACTCTTAAAAGAAATGACAGTGTATAGGGCTTTTAGAAATGCACATTAAGCTGTGCCTGAGTTGCTTCAACTACTTAAGAGTGTTTATAGACTTAATAGTATGACGTAGAGAAGAATTTGACATGGGAAAGCTAAATTGATGTGTTCACTGTGTAACAGAAAAGTATTATTTAGCAAAATGATGGATTACATAAGAACGGGAGACCAGTTGGAATAGGATTTCAAAAGAACTATGTTTTAGAATATATCTCCACATAAGGGACAAATCAACTACAGTTTGGTGGAATGTGTCCTGATTTACACTTTTACTTTAGGAGGATAACGAAATTAGTGTGTATCTATTTCTAGAAATTTCAGCTTGGTAAACCGATTTGTATTTTGATCTTACAACAACTACTATGCCTCAATCCCAAGCTAGTTGAGGTCAGTTGCATAATTCATCAATATCATAAATGCTCTGTTTGTCCATAGTATTTCAATACTCCCTACTTGAGCATTATCTAATGCTAGGGGTTCTCTAATATATTATAGTGGTTACATCTCTAAAATACTAAATACTAGTCCTCTAGTTGGTATCGTCTGTACGGATTTTCAACTTGCACTATTTTCTAACTTTTTGCTAGGTCTACCAAAATTTTGTGATATTTTAGATCTTTTGTGATAAATGATAATTTCCTTGCATGTGGTTTTAGATCTACCTCCTATTTTAACACCTTCAATCATCATGTTGTCTCATCTAAGAACCGGTGCATTCAGAAGCCTATGTAACACGTTGCGAAACCATCTCAAGCGACATTCTCTTATTTTATCCGTTATATGTGCTACTTGTCCCGTCTAATGGAGGGATGTGTTCATTTCTGATCTTAGTTAATCTCTGTAAGACTGCACATCCATTTTAACATTCCCATTCTTGTGACACTCAATTTGTCGATTTGTTGGGCTGTAGAAGCCCAACATTCACTCTGTTATAACATTGTTGGTATTATAGTTGTTTTATAGAAGCCTTTCACTTTGGTAGATATCTTCCTAGCACATTACACTCCTGCTGCACTCCTCCATATCAGCCATCGTACTTTAATCCTATGTGGAACATCTTCATCTATCATTTTATTCTATTGGAACATTGAGCCTAGATGTCTAAACGGTCTAGGTACCTCAATTCATCCTATCTGACATCAATGCATGCTGAGATTTAATGTATCTAATTGGAAAAGGTTTACATTTTTATGGTTGTGGACGTTGTGATGTTGCAACTGGGAATTAGTTGGACTCCTTCAATTGAATTAAATTATAATATTCTATCATTTTCAAATTTTCTTTATGGATATTTTTATAGAGCTATGTTGGGAGAAGTTATAATCATCTGTGACTATGACTGTCTATTCTGGCAAAAATTCTCATGTATTTGCCCACCTTGGATTATCTAGCTTGAATTTAAGGTAGAAAAATGAACTCCGGTTTTCTGGGTATTGATTGTGCAATTTGTATTGTCATGCACAGAATTTTCGAACTGCTAGCCCGTAAGGGAAAGTTAGAATTCTTTTCAATTTCCTGTCATATGCTTCTGTAGAGCAGTAGTAAATATATGATATATTTCTGAGCTTGCAGTGAGACATGGTAAAAGTATCCGATTTTCTTATAGTTCAATCCCTTGTTTAGAAAATATTGTCGACCTTCATTGATGATCCTTCTTTTTTCCCTGGCACTTCAGAAGTTTTGGATTGTGATGCAGATGTATATGGTGAAGCTGATCTGATTTCCTTACCTATGTTATTTGTCATTTTTCAGTTTTTAATCAGAAGACGCTATACGATGCATACAAGAAGCGCACAAAGAATGTTGCTGTTGATGTAGATGAGTACAATAGAATGAAGGAAGCTGACCCAGAATTTTATCGAGAAGCTTCTAGTCTACAGTATGGGAAGGTAAGCTTCAGCCATGATACTTAGCTTTGTTTGTTTTTATTAATTTCAGACTTCAGAAAATAGGCTACCCTACACTAACATCTTTCACTTGTACAGGCACCAAAATTATCAGACGACAAGATAGAGAGGATGGTGAAGGAGCTCAAGGACAGGGACGAGAAGCGCCAATCATTTAGTCGGAGGAGAAAGTTCCATGAAGAGAAAGACATTGACTCTATTAATGATCGTAACGAGCACTTCAATAAAAAGATTGAGCGTGCCTTTGGAAAATACACCTTGGAGATCAAGAATAACCTTGAGAGAGGAACTGCTTTGCCTGATTGAGGTATTAACATGCCATGTCAGTGTGTGTTTTTCTGTATCCTAGAGCAGTCTTGTGACGGGGATGCTCCTTGATCTGTTGCTTTCCTGTATCATGATTTCAGTTAATGTCAATTTCTCTCTCTCAACCTGATGCAAATGCTTGGTGGTGGTTAATTATGGTTCATCTTATAAACCTCATTATTAGCAAGAAACTTTTTTATTATTGACAACAAAAATGTAAATATCTAATATCCTTTCCCCTCCCTAAATGAAAAGGTTTGAATAGGGAAATGATCTATTAAAGGTATGAGCTTTTCTTTTGTGACTGTGATATGATTATTACTGGCCATTTGATAAATAAGCAGATGCTGACAGAAGGATTCTCATTCTTAGCAATTTATGCATCCAAATGAGGGTGCTTAAATATGCTTGCAGAGAGGGTCAGGTGATGTAGAGTGATTTTTTAATGGTTTGGCTACAATCTGCACAAAGTTCTCTCGTGAATGGTGAGTTGTGTACGTAGAAAGGGATCCCCTTTATCACCTCGTATTAGAGCTGTCAAAATGGGTTGATCCAATTCAATCCAACCCAACCCTAATGGGCTAGAGAGTTAAATGGGTTGGGACGGGTTGATCCTTTTAATTAAAGGGCCTATAAAATAGCAGCTCAACCCGGCCCTAAGCGGGCCACAGGTTGGCCCTTCAACCAAAAAATGAACAATATTACTCTCTTAGAAAGAGTATCTAAGAGTATCGAACGTTGACGTCTATGAACACGACATCAATGCATACAAATTTTCATTTATGAATAACACACTTCGGTGAATACTTACAAAAATACATTTATGAATCACACACTTCGATGAATACTTACAAAGATACTTAATAGTCAGCGTAAGATTTAACGGAAAAATGTTGATAATTCCGCCATTCCTCACAAAAAACTAGCTAGTTTAAAAGACTTGATTTTTTATTTTTAAAAATATTTATTAATAAAAACTTTACAAATAAAACACTACTAAAAATATATATAAAAAATATTTTTAAATATTCGTAGCCCACGGGATGGCCTATGAGGCAAGTGGGCCAAATGAGGCTGTGCTAAAAAGCTTCGTTCCTAAATAGGCCAAAAAAATTAAGCCCAATTCCACTTAATTCAAGGGTTGGGTTGGATCGGCGTAGCGGATCAAAGCCCATTTTGATAGCTCTACCTCGTATATGTTGGGTTAAATCATTTCTGGGCTTTGGTTATGCATTTTTGAGTTTTGCTATTACTGAAGCTATTGCCTTGTAGGGTGCTGGTGTCAACGGGTTTTCCAACCTATTGCAAAATCCTTTTCTTGACAATAGTTAATAAGAGGTTCACCCATGACTAAGATGTCTATGTAGTTCTTGTAGGCAGGGACTGGAGAAATGGACTAGTTTGAGTGTTGAATCATCTACAAAGCATTACGTTCAACATCTGCAAATTGAGTGAAACTAACCATGATCTCTGTGCCACACCATGGGGGCATAGAACACTTTTTATTTTCACTTTCTTGCAAAACTATTAAATGACTGACATATGGTACCATTTTATTATAATATCCAAATTTGAATCAACGTTTTTAATTTCTAAACCCTTTCAAAATAGTGGTATGATCTGCATATACTCTACCTTTTTCAAATCCTATCGGTAGGATTACACTATTATATTGTTGTGGTGTGACTCAAGTCTTAAATTATCCAAAATGAAAAAGGAGAAAAGTTATCACTAGTAAACTAACTTGCTGTGGTACTGCCAATTCTGTTTTGATGATACAAAATAAAGCAAATGGCTTTATGCTGAGTTAGAAAAAGATAATGGGGACCTACAATTGTTTAGGTTTTTGGTCCTTCCATGTGAATCCACAGTAAAGGCACTTCTCGATTCTAGCACCCTCCCCACTTCACATGACAAGTGTGCCTTTTTTGGTCTCTCTATAAATAAAATAAATACTCCCATCTCTCTTTTTTCTTCTTTCTTTACTACTCTATCCGTTCATTTTATTTCAAAAATATTTTTCTTACTTTTATTGGTTATTTTTATTATAGGGAAAAGAGTCAAAATTATCCTTGAATTATGCAAAATAAATTACTTATACTCTCCGTTACATTTTGAAATTAAAAATATTCATGTCGTTATAGAAATCGTCTACAAATACTCTTAAGCGTTAACAACCCTAATTTTTAATGATGTGATAAGTCATATGAAATTAATTCCTCCATCTAAGCGTTGCCAATTAAGATTTATTATAAAAAGACGACAAGTCAAACTAATTCATATAAAATTGATAGTGTGAGTTTATTTGTTGAAGCGTGGAAATTCAAAGAGAAGAGAAGGAGTATGATTTTTAACCTTTTCATTACCGTTGGTTGCTTTTTCTTGATTTAGTCGTATTGTTTGTCTTCAAGTCAAAAAGAGTTGATGCAGGCACTTGTCATGCCAACCCTGCAATAATTTTACAGACTCAACCAAAGAGAGACCCATATGCATAGAAGAGCATCTTTGTTTTCTTTAGGAGACACGTGGCACCATCATGTGGAAAATGGTCTCAAATATCAATAAAAATTTTGAGTATCTAAAGGGGTTGAAAGAAGCTCTTTAAATGATTCCATTAAGTGGGTGTCCACCATTCAATTCCCACCCAAAAAAAAAAAAGTTTACCTATAATACAATTTTGCGAAAATGTTCGATAGAAAATACAGTATATTAGTGACGGAATCAAAAAATTTAACTTAAGCAGTTTAAAATTTAGATGAACCCCTAATTATAAATTGGCTCCATCCTAATATTAATATAATTATGGCTCGTTTGGTGTGAGGGATAAAAACATTTATAGTCATGAAATTATAAAATAGTCCTAGGATTAAATTTTGAAGTCTTGTTTGGTTGCCATATTTGGAATAACTTATCTCATCATTTATATCATAGTGATGGGATAAGTATCTCATATACATGATGAAATAAGTTATTTCAAAATAACTAATCTCAAAATAATTAATCCTGGGATAACTTGTTTCATCCACCCCTTAGTGTTTACTAGATATACATGCTCTTACATTATTTGCTCTATTGAGGTTTTCATGGAAGTTTTAGTGGACAAGGTACTTATACACAGTTATACTAGTATCCGATAAGGTGAAATTTATTTGGGGGGGTTTCAATTTCACAGGAGAGAAGAATTTGAAAGAGAAAAGACAAAAGACCTCTCTACTGCTCTCATACCAAATAAATACACATCCAAAAACTAACATTAAAGATGAAACTGTACCAAACGAACAAAATAAAATAAAAAAAAGGTTCATACATTAATTAATTAATTAATCTTCATACACAAAATCAAACAATTAAACAAGAAAAATTTGAACTTGTGAATGAAATTTCTCTTCTTCTCTGCCTGGTTGATAACAACACTTGCTTAGTTGGTTTGGTTGCTGCGGAAAGATCCCAAAGCTTTAACAGCTCCAGCTCTCAATATAAACTGATGGTATATTGCTGCTGCCATTGCTCCCACCATTGGTCCAACCCAGAATATCCACTGCAACAATTTATACGAGTAATAATTGTTATATAGTGTCGTCGATGTTAATAACATTAAATCTGTCGTAAATTAGTAAAAACATACTTGGTCATCCCAGATTTTTTCGTCGCCGTAAATAACTGCAGCTCCAAAGCTCCTAGCTGGGTTAATACCAGTTCCAGTAATGGGGATGGTAGCCAAATGAACCATGAAAACAGCAAATCCAATTGGAAGAGGAGCCAAAACCTTCATGTTCAAATTAAATACTTTTGAGTTAGTATTGAAAAGAACAAAAAACAGAGCATACCACTGCACCACTATACTTTAGTGAACAACAGTATTTATTTGTCGTCTATTTCAGAACTACAAGACCCAAAAAACAGAGCAAACAGGGAAGTTACTACTATTCAACAACATATATTCAGATTTATATTTGTTGTCTATATATGAATTTGAAACTTTTAAAATTCAAGTTTTGTCTTGTGAGAGGGTAGCTACTTACAGGGACATGGGAATCGCGAGCGCTTCTTTTTGGGTCAGTAGCAGAGAAGACGGTGTAAACAAGCACAAAAGTTCCAATAATTTCAGCACCCACAGCAGTTCCTTTGTTGTAACCAGGTTGCACAAAGTTAGCACCACCACCTTCTGTGTTGTAGTAATGCTTCATGAACAACTTAACGAAACCAACACCACAAATAGCACCAAGTGACTGTGCAATTATGTAAGCAACTGCTCTTATCAATGACACTTTCCTTGCCAAGAACAACCCAAATGTCACCGCCGGGTTAATATGACCACCTTCAACAACAACAAAAAAGTAGTTCCGTTACTTCTTTTTCTCTCTACTTTACAAAGAGGACAGAGATCTAGAACCCATAACTATTTCTGAAATTATGGATTCAAAATTAAACATTTCTTGAAATTTTAGTGATTTTAGACACATATTAATGATTCATGCCAAAAACATCAGACTCAGTTGGACCCATGAACTCAAAATACAAAGTTAGCTCAAATCAAAATTCGAAAGTTGTAGTTTTACCAGAAATTCCAGCAGTACAGTAAACAAGAACGAAGATCATGCCACCAAAAGCCCACGCAATTCCAAGAATCCCAACACCATCACATTGGTCGAGAGCGTTGAGTTTCTTGTGGCCGATAACAGTAGCAACGGTGACATAAAGGAAGAGAAGGGTGGCGATGAATTCAGCTATAACAGCTCTGTAAAAAGACCATTTGGTAAGCTCAGCCATGTCAAGAAGAGGAGCTGGAGGAGGGTCAACATAGTCCTTTCCATGATGATGAGCTTGTCCTTCTTCAATTACGTCCTTCGACATTTTTTTTTTAGAAGTTTGGCAGTGAAAGAAACAGAGCTTTTTTGAGTTTTTGGTTTTTGAGTGAGTGAGGAAGATGATGAATTTGTGCTAGCTTTTAAGGGGATAAGGAAAGGGTATTTAAGGAAATTTAACTGAGTAAACAACGAAATATTCCTGTCAACAAGATAATCATAATTAAGCAAATCATAATATAATAATAATGGTTATTTAATGCAAATTCTAGTTGTTTCTAGCTAATTGTTGTCTTCATTTGAGTTTCCTTTAACTGACATATTTTTTATTTTATTAATCTAATGCTTAATTAACAAGTTTGTTAAATTTAATTAACAATACTAAGTAAAATTCATTGTATTAGAATGATTTTATATGTGTACACTATTATATAGGTGGTGTAGGGCTTAAATGCAGTTCAATTTAACTTATGAAATTTTT